CAACAAGACCAAGCTCTGTAATTATTAGGATCTCTGTCTAGTAGTGCCGTGTTTGTGCCATCTAACTGGATCGACCAAATCAACTGATTCATAATATATGTATATGCAATATTTTTTCCCGTAACATGAGAGTAATTTTAATAGTTTCATACTATTAATTAAATGTATTGTTAACTGTAACTGTATAACTGTTTTAAATGGGGGCACGCTACAAAAGTCCTATCTCGCACCCCGGGGCAACGTGTCTGACACGGCCGGTTGTAGCAACTACTCCGAAGATCAAGATTGCAGTAATCTTGATCTAAGGAGACACGAACGAACGAAGTCATAGACTGAATTGAACATGCTTTCACAGTGCAGATAAAATTAAATTCAAGTATAAAATAACAACATGAGTATCAGGAAAAATGGAATTAAATATAATGTGTACAAGCATAATTTAAAATTGTATAGGTAGTAAAATATATACAGAATTTCGATATTGTCTCACTGTTAAAAAACAACATGATATTGCACAGTTGTTGAGGGAATTATAAGCTTGGATTTGCATAGTGAAAGTTTAACATACGTGTGAGATTGGGAAGAGCACTGTTCTGAAATCGCTTAGTTTTATTGATACTTATTGACTCTTTGTAAATTGTATTTGTTGGTTTTCTGTGGCGGTAACCATGATTTGCACAATAAATTCGTTTCTACTGCAATAGCCAGATCTTTGGTGAGTTTTCTCTTCGAGTCATAAGGGTTGGCAATTTCAGTCTTTCAAGAGCATTGTCATATGAAGTATAATTTGATCCTAATATTATCTTACAGGCTCTTTTTTGTATACTTTCCACTGTCCTACTTGTAGCTACTTGCTCCCTCTATATAGAAAACTTCCCCAATCGGTGCCTGTTGGTTCCCCCATGATCCTCTTTTTCTTATGTTAGTTGAGAGCTGAGTTAATGAGATAGCCACCTGTCAGTGACCTTGCTGTGTGGTCTAATCCCTTCTGGCCCTGTAGTATTGGAGGTCTTTAAACATCAATCTGTTTACGAGTCAAACTACCGGAAAATAGAGGTACACAGTACTCCGTAATTGGTCTTACCTACCCTATAGACACTGTCCACAAATCACATTCGGGTAGGTTATAAACTTTTAATCTGTGTAGCATAAATAATTTTCTATTCCTTTCCTTCATCAATTCAGTACCATGAGCTTTCCATTTGAGGTCGTTTTAAATTATAACACCAAGGATTTTCACAGTATTTACACAAGGTAGTGGTGTATTATATAACAAAGGTGGTTGTAGAGGCGGCTTGGAAAATGAGACGGACATCGTAGAACATTTTGATGCATTCAACTTCATATCATTGCTAGAAGTCCACTATTCAAATAGTTCAATTTGGGTAATATAGTCAATCAGTCATCTACATATTTAAAATATGACAACTAAGTATCTCTGCAGGCATCATTAATCATTATTAAAAATAAAATGGGGCCAAGTATGGTACCTTGAGGAATGCCTACACCGTTGTATTTAGATTCTGATAACTTACCTCTATACTTGACGGTTTGTTGATGAAAATCTATTACTAATGCAATTACACAAGAACGAAGATACATTTCACATAATTTAGCAATGATGATATTATGCTTAATTCGATCGAATGCTTTGGAAAAATCAGTCAGAATGAGTGTTGACAGTGACTTAGGTTTGTCAGTATTACTATACAAGGCATACAACAGCCCAGTCAGATAGTGACATGTAGACATGTTCTTTCTATTTCCAAATAAATGACTCTGCAATCTTCGCAAAATATGAAGTTAATGCAATTGGTCTTAACTCATTGATTGTAGGTGGAAAGACTTTGGAAGAGGTATGATCTCTGCATATTTCCACAATTGGGAAAAAATACCAAAGTCAAAAGATGAATTCAGAATATTAGTTATTAAGGTGTACTCAATTTAACTGCAAATTCATGAATTATGCGAACTGGTAAATCATTGGAGGTACTTGTTTTTTTTAACTTCAGTTTACACAACAATTCGTCCATGTTTTCACGAAGTGACGGTAGTGAGGAAAATCGTCACGCAAAGTGAATGCAATTTTTTTTCACTGTCACTTCGTGAAAACAGCGACGAATTGGACACTTGGTGGGTGATGGTACTGTAAATCTCCGTGTATAAGATGCACCTGTGTTTTTTTATTTATTTATTTAGTTTTGCCAACTCTGTCAGCAGCAAGCCAGGTCCGTGTTAAAAAACCCACACGGGAAGGCCTTTCATTTAACTGTGAGGTGCAGTTGAATGTGTAAGATCATTAATGTAAATAAAAAAAACAGTAGAGGACCTATTGTAGGATAAAACCTTGTGGTACGCCGTGTGTATAGAAGAAAAATTGGAGGGATTATTTTTATAAACTACATATTAAGATCTATCAGAAAGATTACTTTCTGATTTTGTTGTTCTTGTTTCTGAGTGGTGAGTCAACACACCGATTACTGAACTGGGAGACATTGCCAGGCATAGCGCCAGGTAGAGGGGCATATATCGAAACTTTAAACAAAACCTGACTTTGAGTTTTTTTTGGCGGCAAAAAAGTCCTTCTTATACACAGAGATTTACGGTAAATAAGAAGGTAGCTTACCCTTATCATGGACTTATTACGGATGGACATTCAACGTGATTCTTTCTTTGATCCAATGATAGTCGCCGCCTTCTAATTATGTGCATCTTAACGAGAACATTCAGCTGTTAACGACTGCGTAAGCATTTTCGGTCATTGCCAAAGGAGCAGTTTCCCTCTCTTGGGTTTTGTTTGGATGGTGTGCTCTGTAACAGTGTGTCTTAAATAAAAGCATCCCCAATGGGGAGTAGCAAAGTTGAAAAGCAGACGATTTTGGTGATATGAAATGTATTATTACTGATTCGCAAACTTTCGCACACACCTATGACCTTATAAAACAATTAGAAGGCCATGATCTGTATCAGCCCGGTGCGTTGTAACTCTGGAATATTATGAGGAATTAGGGGGAAACAGGATTTTAAATCACCACCAATTTAACTATAAACTCTATCTAGTATATCAACACGTTTTTCAAAATAAAATACAGTAAATGGAACAACAATTTCCGATTATAAGCCAGAACTGCACATCGATTTTCCATGATTTAGGCAAGTAATTATCTTCTGCGCATGTAGATTAACATGTGTAAAATCACTATCTTGATTCTGTCCCGGCTTTTTGGCGGTGACCATGATGAGATCAAAGTGAAGAAACATTTATGGAATGTTATTGAGACGACATTGACGGAGACAATCACACTGAATTCGTTAAGAAAACGATGAATGTCCATCCGTAATAAGTCCATGCCCTTATTAAGCTTAGGTAGGTCTGATGCTATCTGCAAAATATGATCATTTATACGATTAGCAGCTTCTTTAAAGTTATTTGGATCATCTGTAGCGAGGCCAGGAATGTTAATCAGTGCTTGGTCTTGAGGGGCATTTGTAAGTAGCTTTAAATAATCTGACGATACCAGCTCCCAGGATTCTGAGTTTTCAATTTTCAAACTCTTTTGTTATAGAAATCTTTCTGCGGCTCTTATAGCAAATATTACCTTATTTCTTAAGTGACGCCAAAGGACCTGGTTATTTACATACCAAGCTTGCTGTCTTTGCTCAATCAGAGATTTAACATTACAGTTGATCCATGGTTTATCATTTACATGCATGGAATTGTTTTTACTGGTATTAGTATTGATCAACACTTTTTTGAAGAGTACTACAAATATATCACATTTTGTAGAAGGGTCGTCGGTGCTATATACATCATCCCAGGTATGGTCTATCAACCAAGCTCCAAATGCGTCTTCTTCTTTTTCTCTGCAATTCATTAATTGTTCATCCTGCTATTCTGTGCTATTTATTTATGTGAAGTCACATGGATTGGAAAAGAAGATTTTGGGGTTATAGTTATTTAGTAAATCTACGTCTTTTCCCAGCATTCATGTGACTCACTTCAAGTCTTCAAGTTGTTTTCGTGTTTTGCATACACTGTTTCTTGATTTGGTCTTTTCCAAATAAATAATAACAACAACAACAGTAATTAATAAAATAATAGTGGTGATGCTATCGATCATCATGATTGGAAATATTTGGTATCCCTTATTCTTTCTTTCTTTCTTTCCCTCCCTCTCCTTCCCTCCCTCCCTCCCTCTCCATCCCCTCCTCTATTCCTCCCATCCACCCCTCCCTCATCTTGCAAAAGGTTGTATATCATCACATGGGCAAGGCTTTCCAACCATCTCATGATACCATTGATCTGTAACCAGATAACGATGGTGATGCTATCCATCATCTTGATAGGTGTCACGTGACCATGCAATGATAACATCTAGGTCGTGATGTAACCTTTCAAGATGGATGTACAAATGCCAAGTTACACAAGCTTGACTTCATATACATATCATACATACAAACATCGGCTGAGCAGTGAGCAAAGAACATTACTATCTTGCAAAATCAGTTTTGAGACTTATGAATTATTTTAATGACGAGATCCATTTTTTAGCTCTTCTTCATAATAGATACAAAATCATTTTTTTTGGAAGGTCACATTTAGTACAGTATCCATAATGGTGAATTATATAACAAAAGCAGGGCATCGCTTTACGAAACAGTCATAACTACAAGTTGACCGACATCCTATTGAAACATGTGGTAAATTTAATACACGTTTCATTGGGTTGTAGGTGAACTTTAAACGCTACGCAGGTTATGACAAACGTTAGGAAAACGAATTCTGAGATTTCTAATTCCAATCATAAATATCTTGATAATCAGACAGGCGATTGGCTTGTAAAAGTCATGGGATACATATATGACCTAAAGGTTTGTAATTATGATTGCAGCACGAGCTAAATCCAGGATTTTTTTTTATAATCAGAGGCAAAGTTAATTACCCAATCCGCTCTGAATTGTTCATCATCTGAACACGTGAAGAAAAAAAAGAAACTTACCACCGATTCACTCTGGCACTTGAAAACGTAGCACATGTAGTTGACGCTTGACGACTTCTCTCGACAGATAAATCCAAAGTACTCTGGTTGCTTTATGCCCTGCAGGAATCCCAATAAATAATGGGAGAATCAGAGGGAAAAAGAAGCAGGAGAAGAGAAAAAGAAAACAAAAAGCAAAAATAAATTACTGTTTTCATTGAAGAGAAATCTTTGCCAAGATAATGGTGAAGACCAGGAAATTACTATTTTGTCACTTTGCAGACAACCTTTTGTAAATGCAGGTTATTCTCTCTCAGATTTCATATTTCCTCTATCTTAAGGGCTGTGAAACATGAAAAATCAATACAAGATATAGACAAAGAAAACAGACATTAAATACGAATCCCGACCCTTCTTTTAATCATGACAATAGAATTTACTTAAGTTCCCACTTACATTTACCATTACTAAGTAAAATGAAAATAACATGAAAATAGGTAAAAATCTTTTTAGCAGACAAAGTCATAATTACTTGAAATATCAAATTATCTACTTCCAACACAGAGACACACTTTTCAAATTGATGAGAAAAAGTTTCAATTTTAACCTCACTGAAATCAATTACTGAAACATGCAAATATTGAACAAAAAATCACAAAACTTTACAGTATAATTTAAATCCTCTTTATAAAATCTCACAATAGTTCATTAAAATCCTACCAAATATCCAGCTACATGTATGATCCACAGTACACTACCTGCAGGTCCCGCAATGCATCTGAAATGCTTATGTTACTCATGCCTAGCCTTAACAACATTCGTGTGATTATTACTAGTTTCCTGAGTAGGCTGCCTCCCTTAAATCTTCCCCTCATTTCAGCCTTGATTTCTCATATAGGAAATGAGCAGACATGCTGTGCTACTGTTTAAAAATAAAATATCTGTGACTCTTTCCTGCACACCTACACATTAGCCATGTTCAGACAGGGTTTGTTAGTCGGTGTAAATTAATCCCTGCAGCAGTAAATACCTCATGTATATACTCCATTAGTTGTCCACATGCTCTTACTCGGACCAACTTGCCATGATTAAGTTAACACAACGTTCCACCGACGAAGCACCCTATAGTCCAGCTACGAAAACCCACGCTGTTTTACTGAGTTGCAATTGAAGGCGCCGATTTGTGCACATGAACTTCTCACAAATAATAGTAACAATGTTGTTTTTAAAACTAAAGATGACAGACAAATTTTCCTTGGAGTCTAAACAGAAATCTGGACATTGGTAGCTAGTTTGGTCCTAGTTTCTGAGTGGTGAGTTGACAGTGACACCCTGTGTATGACTGAGCTGGGAAATATTCGTACTCACGGTATCATGCTAGTGCTCTTTCCGGGCATGGGTGAGCGTCGGCCTGCACAGTGCCAGGTGGAGGGACATAAAACGACACTTACCAAAAAAAAAAGGGAAAAAACAAAATATGGCAGCCGTAGTTCTCAAACGTGCGAGTATTCATGTATCCGGGTACTCGTCGCAGCCTTAGTGCACACATAATTTGTTATGAAAGTTGCAGGGTTACAGTGTTATCGCCTTGCTAAGATTTGATAGTAGAGTAAGTAGACCCATTTTATTAAACAAATAATACACAGGTTTTCATTTGTGACGTTATGGGGAGTATGCTGCGCTATTCAGGTATTCACAATGGCACAAAATGCACTTGGCTGGGCCTCATGCATTTTATTGCACCATTGCGAATGCCCTTGTGCGAGGCATTGCCATAACGCACTCACACCTATGTATTATTTGGATACGTACTATCGCTACTCAGAGATGGTCCTGCAAGTCCCAATAGCAAGTCCCATTCATCCAACCATTTACAGTGTCCACTTTTAATATGTATTATTAAGCAATAGGCCTACATACTATATCTTTATATTCTACCTCTTTCGGTAGTGGAAATGGACTCCAAAATCTTCACTACCTATTAAGAAAGTAATGGAAAATGATCCTTTAAGGTACTATGTCCCATTTGCAGGTCAAAAAAAATGAAAAGGTTAAATTCCAACGGCATTTGAAAGATAATACTAATTTAGAACTTCCCTAAAAAAGTTGGGGCTTGAAAATGTCTTCAAGTGGGAAAATAACGACTATTAGTTGTCAAATCGATTTCTCTATAGAGCCAATAAGTAATAGTCTTGATTTTCAGACCCTTGTACTGAATGGTCATACGTTTTATGCTGCGCAAAGATTCAATCAGTTTAATTTTGGCCATCACAAGAAATGGGTTATTGATGTAGACAAATGCTTATGTACCCTTTACAGCTCATTTTATGTACATGTATGTTATTATCAAAGAAGAAAAAAAGCCAGTCAGTCACTCAATAGTGTCTGACAGTGAAGTCTAGCAAGTAAACATGTTTCCTTGCATAATTTGAATATTAGGACACTGCTAACATTTAAATTTCACAGATAGGACATACACGACATATTCATAATTCCGGCAAAGTTATACAGAATTTGAGGTTGGCTGCAAAAGGGATATAGTACCTTTAAATAAGGATTTTGTTTTCTCTTAGTTCTGTCTTTAATCTAAAGGTTCATTGATCATAAGTTTTTTTTTCTGATTAGTGAATAATGCGAAGGTTCATAATTCTGAAAATTAATTAATGTGAACTTTTGTAAGTATGAGAGCCCACGAAAATTCATTATTTAGAAATATGAATAATAATAACATCAGTTTCTCAAATAGCATTTAATTAACCATTAACTGGCTATATAATAAAAAGTGCCAACAGTATCAAAATATTTTTAAAAAATTACAAAGTACCCTCACATTCATACCATTTTCAAAACAAATCTCTGCATCAACTAATTACAAACTGCTATAGCTATAAAATGTAAATGGAACAAAGCAAAAGAAAAACCATACATCTATTAATAGAGTATCACATCGATCTACTTTAGTAATTACACAATACGCAGCTACAATTTATACCTCCATTCAGTTTATCTCCTCTCCATAAAGTCCAAGTTTAAGCCCACTTTACAGCCTCATGATGACCACTAAAGTCCACAAGCACTTTAACCCATCGCTATACATCCCCTACCTACAAGCCATAAAACGTGATCTCATTCAGCCACTGTGAGGGAACTAACATGATTCTCTGTCAGGAGTGTCTTGATGCATCACCCTTTATTTTAGCTTGTGTGGTAATGTGTTAATTAGAACATTTCCCCTCATACTGATAGGCTACCAGTCAACGCACTAGTCTACCTTCCTTTCAACACCATGTTGTCTGTTTAGAGCTCAAAAGACTACACCTCAGTTTTAGGGTGCGTTTTTCATGTTTTGCCACTCAAAAACAGGATTTCTATACATACATATCGAACCCCACTATACAACATGATTTGCGGGATGTCGCATTTATCAACTCGTCAAGATTCAAAATAAAGGCCTTGTCTCTGCGCAACTGCTTTGCACCATTTGACCCAGAAAGCAGAGAGTTGCTTGGAGGTCAACTAGGGCGCTCACTTTTTTATTTTTGATCTAACTACTAGTGTACTTATCTCATGTAATTATCACATTAAAAATTTCAAGTTTAAAAAGTCTGGCTAGTAAACAATGAACAATGAACGTTTGACGAGTACGCAAGCATGCATGTATATACAACAACATGACACACATTCTGCGCACGCTATTTCTCAGAATTATCCTGGGAAGGTCCGAGTTTGTATATGTGTTTCAAAACAGCTTTGCGTTTATCATCTCTCAGAAACGTGATTCTGGCTCATTCTCACATTCAATACACACTTTTTTGCGTTTCAATATACCCATATATCTAAAGACTTTTGAAAACAGGCTTGCGTTTATCACCATGCAAATTTGCCTCAAACACTTTTGAAACGCTGATTCTAGGCCAGAAAAGGGGTGATAAAAGCACCCTTAGATAATACAAGATAATGTTCTTAAATCTTCTATCTCTGAGTAGATGAATATTGTGCCCTCTCCTTAAAAGCAAATCATTTGCACCTGATCAGATTCAAAGAGTTTTACAGAACTCTATTATGTGAAATCTATGGCTCCTTAAATTGGCAACTTTCAGAGGCAAGGTTTAAGTACTGACCTTTTAAAATGACAATACCACTAAAATCCCACGATAGGCAGTATTTTTGTTACAAAAAAAAACTGCCTGACTCAAGACAACTTTCAGTCCCATTCAGAATTAGGCCTGAGTCATCTCTGGTTTTTTATAAACCGACTCCAGACGGACGTCGGTTTCTAAAAAACGAAACCGGGACCCGATGGCGACGGTCAGGATTCGGTGTGACTGACCATACCGACTCAGGCTTATTCAGAATAGAAAGCGAAAGTACCATCATTGGAGGACACTAAAGCAGAAAAAGAAGAAAGGGGCTATAGTATAGTATTAATGACTGCTTTGAGAGAAATAGTTGTTTTTATACGGTCTCGGGAAGGTTAAAATTGTGCTATTGCCCCGAGGGCATGATGTTTGGGAAAAGAAATCAGTTCTCCCTCGCACAACAAATTAGCTGAAAAAACCTGGGGAAAAAAAGAAAACAAATATTAAATTGAAAGTGTTCCAAAAATGCTTAAACATTTTGTTGTGCTTGAGTAGAAAGCAAAAATCTTTCTTCTATTTCATGCACTGAAAACAAAAACAAAAGAAATATAAAAAATAAGGAGCAAGACGGAATCCTGAAGGGAAAAAAATTACAGAGCTCTGTCAAAAAACCATAAAATACATAAATCTTTATTAAAAAACATCAAGGAAAAGCTAAAAAAGACCCCAGTAAACAATGTTTAAAATGATTTCATATACATACATGTATGGTATACATGTATGTGTATATGTTCATACATAAAATGTACTGGTAACAACACAAGAATAGCTTCCTTGAAACAGTTATGACGCGATTAGAACATTGAATACTTCCTCCACCAGAAAAAGAAAAGAAAGTAATACCAGATCTCCTTACAGGCATATTGGAAGGCCCTTTCCTGTACACACAGGTGTATACACTTTCATGATAACACCAATCATCAAATACAAGTTGATCTCAAGCAATCAAAAATCCAGATTCCAACTTTCGTCTTCCAATAA